GACATATTATTGACTATTATCGCTAACCAATCAAAATGCTGGATGGTGCCCACGTGTCTAAATTACATAAGCTCATTACCAATAATGTAGTGCGATCTTTTGCCTTTGATTTCCATGGGAAAACGGCATGATTTTTTTTTTAAATCAAGAAATTATTTGTTTTCGAAAGATAAATTATTCTTCAATGCTCAGTTTAACACTTTTACGGTGATAAAAGCTCATTGTCTAAAACTTACGAAACACAGACGTATTCAGAAAGAGTATTGACAGAGGTCGCCGCCGGAACAAAAGCAGTTTCATTGCCTGTCTGACATCTTATCACCGCTGAACAATAAATAGGTGTGAATATTTTTAGGCATGTTGTCGAAACAAATGAATAGGATTAGGAACAATGCCGTTTTGGAACAGCTGGTTGAAACAATGAAGTCAGTCATGGTCTTGTTGAATTGGGGGTGCGGTTAGTAATAGGTACTTTTCAAGTTTTCAATTTTTGTTAAGAACTCTTTAACCTCGAAGCCGGAATTGGGGGTGCGGTTACTATTACGTATGCGGTTTATATTAGGACTTTAACGGTAGATGTTAGACGTGACGCTTCAAATAAATTGAAGTAGCAAAAATAACATTTTCAGGGCCACAGAAATCTAGCAAAATGAGATAAACAGTACCATAATAGTAAAGGAGAAGGATTGAGCGAGTGCGTGCATGTGAATTTGTTTTATTGCAAATTACAAGTTTACAAAACACTACAAGCTCTGTTGGTGGTAACATGCAGTACTGTCATCTGTTTAATTTTCTTCTTGAAATTGGTGTTTCATTTTTGTTACTAATCCTGCAGTTCAGTTACTAGAATTATACCCCTATAATACAACAACTCAAAAAATATTTTTTTTTCAAGTTTGAATTAATAGAGGGATTACGATATTTTCTTATGAACCCTCTGGCTTTTACCCCAACTTACCACAGAGATATTTCCAAATTTATCGGCCGCAGCCATGGTGTCATGATCGAGTGTGCAGGAAGCTGTGATGTATCTTGGATTGGTATCGTCAGCAAAAACAATCATCTGATTTTCCTGATGTTTATATCGTATATAATGAAAACTTTCTTGGACATCGCTGACTATGATTCGACTACCCATAACGCTGATATTTACGATAAAACTTGGAATGTGCTACAATATAAACAGAACGGTTGACAATCTCAATGTCTTGATTCAGTATATACTGGATGTGGTTTTGCTTAATGTCAGTATTGACAGACAATTCTCAGTCTGGTATGGTGATAATGCACTTACTTTGTTTTCACATTTCCGGAGAAGTTTCTTCTTTCCGATATCATACAATCTCAGTAGCTTGCCAACGCCAATGAGAACTCTTCCTTGGAATGGACATATTGCTGATGGCACATCATCAACCAAAGTCTAAAACGACAGAAAGTTACAAATATAATGCAAGCCATACTGGCAGCACCAACAACTTGTCAACCGAACACGTGACATACTTGATAAGATACAAGCTGATTTCTCAGAAGAAAATGTTTTACAGACAAAATACACTTATGGCTATGATGGCAACTTCAGACTGTCCCTTACCTTGTGTAATAATTTTAATTCACCATTTTCTAGTAGTTGGTATGTGTGGATAAATCCTTCGGTGCAATGTCTGGGGTTTAGAGTCATATCTTTGGCAACACCCACTAACACAAAGGTATCATCACCACGGTTACTGAACTTACAAATTGCAACACTGTAACAAATGTGAGAGACGCATGTATGTTATGTACCAGCAATGGATAGTTTAAAACATTTCAGTCACTTTATCACAATATTAGTCACTTAATCAGACAGACTGGTTACTCACCTAAAGGCAGCCTCATTCTGCTCCAACTGTTCCATGTGTAACGTTTTCCCCGACACTGGTTCTAGTACCCTTATAACTGATGCCCACATGCCGGACCCTGCTTTTGGAGCACCAAATACATCTTCTGGTAGGCTTTCATTCATGAAAGTGGCAGCCATTTCAGCTGCCAATTCCTGCTCTTCCTCTCCTGCAGCATCTACCATTTCCTACACATGAGAGATAAATTGGCACACTCAATCCATATTGCTGTAGTTAATGTGCAACCTGGATTAGTGTTGCTGTTAATTATGGACAACATTATGCAGGCCTATTTTGTGAAAGATGACATTGGTGCTTAACAGGTCAGCAACAAATTCTGCAGAGGGAAACTCACAAAAATACAGAAGCATATATTTCATGTTCAATATCATTGTACAAATATACACACAATCCAGCCAGCTTGCAACTCAACAAAATCTAAAGTTTTACCTCTGCCATCTGCTGTTTTCTCTGTAGCTTTGTAGCCTCTGTGTAAGCATTGTGGTCAGTTTCAATCAAAACAAGCATGTTGCTTTCATGATGGACTGCAAACTTTCTTGGCGTGTATTTTAATGGTAATGAGACTTGATTGAAAACAGCTCCTAACTTCTCCAATGCCAAAATTCTGAAATTAAACAGTAACGTATAAACTTCATGATTTTTTAACACTTGTAAACACTAGTCATTCAGGAACAATGAACGGTTTACACAGTAATGAACCCAAGGCAGACAAACCATGGTGAACACTTGCATAAAGTGTTACTATCATATATACAGATGTTTGAGTGAAAAAAAGTTCATTACCTCAAAGTGTTCGTTGAGATAGCTACTACGCCTTCTGGACACTGTTCGGACGCAAAACTAGATGCATATTCCAAGGTTTCATACGACAATGGTGTGAGATGGAATCGTGACTGATACCAGTAACTTAACCAAGATCTACTGGACATTGCCAACACCTAAAAACAAATGATAAGTGACTTAAAACTGTGCAAATAAAAAGAATCTTTAACTTTGAGGGATGACAACGATGTATTTTGTTATACTTGTACAAAGCTGTACTGTCACGTGGTATGCACACACACAATCATCTTCCTGGTAGACTAAAACTGATAAACAAAACAAAAGATACAAGAATATCCCGAAAGTGTAAAATTGAATATTCTGTACTTACAGCTTCACTGCCTTGCATTTTAACTCGAAATAGTTTGACTGGTCTTGATCCTAGGTATCTGGTACGTGTATCTGAGAGGTCTCCAGTTACCGGATCCAATACAGTACGTAGCAGTACGCCGTTCTACAAATCAAATGCATTGTTATTGTCGAATGTGCATTGTTACATTAAACGAACAATGCATTCATGATACAGCATGGAATGTATCACAAACACAACAAGAACGACATTATCAACATTGGTAAAACTTCATTGCATATTTTCAATAAATTTAAATGAGCTCAACAAAGTGACTATTGCCGTTTAAATCCTGACATACCTGTAGTCCAATGTTAAGGTAGAGAAGCATTCCAGCTCCTTCACCAATAGTACTTTCACCAATGCTAGTTTCTATGATACACAGTGCTTCTGCCAATGCAGGCAACGCCTGCATACTCAGTGGCTGTAAGCAATCCTACAAGAAATACAAAGAAAAATTAAGCTAAAACTGTGTACATAAGTGGGTGTAGGTTTGTCGTCAGTTTGATTTTAACACAAGATGTTGTTTAATTTGATATTCACAATCATGTGATGATTGCCATGCTGTAAGAACTCATCTATGGTAAGCATTGTTGGGTAATTTTGTACAGCAAAAACGGCCAACAAAAACAGAAGAAAATACAATTCAGTTTCGACATGTACATGTACTTTGTAAAGAAACAAGTCATTGACACATTTCCTGTTGGTATAATTTATGATATCCCAAAGGAAAGGCAGAAATCATTCCTGCCATGTCTGAATAAAGATAATTTCATAAAACATCAGGTAGGTTATGTATCAAATGACTGACAATGAGTTTACTAAGGCATGTGCTAATTTAATTCATCAAGTTTGAATTGAACTGACAGTTTGGGAGACGAGATGTATTGGCTTGTTATTGATTTTAGGACTAAAACGACCACGAGATGGCCAAAGGTCAACGAAACAAAACAACAAATCTACAAGTGTATCTCAAATCTAACCAGACATGTTAGAGAAATGACAAAGTACACATTTCAGAACATGTCTGACAAGGAATAGTCATTGTAATTGGACAAAAGTTTCAATAAAACTTTCACAAGAATTCTCAGTCGAATTTGAGAGAGGTCAGAGTTGAAATAACTTACTGATGGATCCAAGGATATGATTCTAACTGTATTATCGGCTAATCCCACAGCCAAAAACCGTGACCTCTGTTCACCAGCCGGTACGCTTGCGAGACTCATACACTGTACATCGGCAGACATTTCTTTACGTTCAGTATATTCATTCAATTGACCAGTCTGGGAAAACAGAATGAAAATATTGTTAGCAGGAACAGAAACCATTACAACACATTTGCATCAGAGAACAACACTATTAAAGCCATATTTTTTTTATTAATTTAAATGCCTTCATCAGACGTTGTTAGCATGTACATGCGTGTTTTTTGCATCCTTTTTTCATGATTGGCCAAAAAAGTTG